TAGACAGCATGGCACAGACCTGCTGGGAAGATTTGTTAGAAGAAAACATACCCCATAGATCTTGACTGTGAAGAAGAGACCAAAAACTTGGGAAGGAAACTTAGATCTTCTCAGTGTGTCATCAAAGAAACTTCATCCCCACTCGACTTACCCCTTGTTTCTTCTCTCTCACAGTAGGGGAAAACTTTCTTCCCTAATAATAACCATTTTACCTGTATTTTGGATCTAACTTCTTCTAGCTCACCTTTTGTATTTTAACTTTTATATTTTATATTCATTACTCTATTTTTTAGTTTACACTGTAGTGGGGTAGTCTACAAACAACAAGTAAACACTGGAGGTGTAGAGTACTTGCCTATCATATGGGAGGCCCTGAGTTTGATGGCCAGCACTGCAAAACAGGACAACAAATAAGAGGTTTACTAAATATCCTGCAATGATTAAGTACTATAAAGATAAGTGAATAAGGTAATGATATGGAAAATTAGAATGAGTGATTTTTAGGTAGAGTGTTCAGGGAACAGGAATCAATTTGAGGAAGCTCCAATTGACTAAAGATGGGATCATATTAACACTCTTAATAACAATAATGATAGAATATACTCAGTTCCATAATTTTGTGTGTGTCTGTGGTGCTGGGGATCTAAACCAGGGCCTCAAGCATACTAAGCAAGCACTGAGCTGTTATCTCTAACCCCCTCCATAAACTCCTAATGAATATTAATAGCAAATTATTGACCATTGGAATATACTCAAGTGTTGTTAACTTATTTTAAAAACAGAAACTCAAAGGAAAAGAAGCATTTATCCTCTTAATAAAATTATTCAGTGACTAAATGAAAAAGGAATGATAGAATGTTACCAAATTTGTTTATGCTTATATTTATTTTGTGCATTGTCTGTTCACTTTCTTTATTCTTTTTCTTTCTTTAATGTTTCTTATGTCAATTTGTAGGGGCTTTTGTGATGTGAACATTTATACCAGTGTGGCCTGTACCCAGATACAGTAGGTTCCTGCTCAGGAAGTGTGAGGTGCCTGGGAAATAAAAAGTCTGAAATACAATCAGTAAAAAATAAAGAAAGAAGCAAAAATTAGATTTAAAGAGAAGCACCTGATGAATCTTCCAGTCCTGTTAAGAGCTAGAAATGAACAACTGAAAAAAGGCCCCAATTCTTTATTTAAGGGGAAGTGCATCAAATTCAGGGGTAAGGTTCTGCGGGAGGAGTCTTAGTTTAGTTTGGTGTTTGCTTCTTAGTGTGGCAGGGGTCTTGTAGTAAACAGGTTGATTGGCATTTTGGCAAGCCACACCCATCTCTGGGGGGTTGTGGGCCTCCACAAGGTCATTCCATCTCCCAGGCTGAGCTAGAACTTGAGTAGTAAGCTAAAACAGGGTGCCAACCTGAAGTAGGCATTCTCAAACCAGGGGGTTCTGCCTGGGAGTTTTTACAACTGAGTTTCCTTTCCTAATGGCTTAAGCATCACTCAGTTTACCCATGGGTCCCCGCAAACATTAACATTTGCTTGCTTTTCTTATGAATGTTTTAGCACTTTATTTTGATTTGGATTATGACTTTCCTTTTTATATTGCTCATTTAACTTGCAAGTAAGTCCCACAATTACCATCTTAGGTTTATCATACCTTTTTGCTTTTACTGGTGCATGATAGCTGGGTTCATTTTGACATGATCATACATGCATGCAATTTAATCTACTCCATTTTAGCCCCTAGTGTCTCCTCTTACCCTTTTCTCATCCCTTCCCCTTTTCCCTTTTTCATGCCTTGTTAACTGCCTACTCATTTACTACTATTATATAGCCAGTCATGGTCATCTATCTATCATTTATGTCTTGTCTTATTGAGACCCTAAATTGACTTTCTCTGCAAAATTCTACAAAGTTGCATTTTTTTTTTTGTTTTCTTAAGTAGGAAAATAGAGAAACAGATGTATAGTTTTCTTAATAGTATTTTGTGCACCGTTCATTTACCTTTCTCGCACTGTTCATTTACCTTTCTCCACTCACATTTTACCCATACTACTGAAATTTTTATAGCCCTTTCAGTCTTTTTAGTATGTCCTTTTTCTTTTCTTTTTCTTTTTTTCTGTACTAGGGCTTGAACCCAGGACCTCATGCATGCTATCACAGAGCTATATCCCTAGCCCTTTTTTCCCCACATTTTTTTTATTGGTGCATTATATTTGTACATATTGATAGGATCTGTTGTTACATATTTGTACACACACACACACACACACACACAATATAACAATATCATTTGGCCAATATCACTCCCCAGTACTTTCTGCCTCTCTCCCTACCTCCCACCCCTTGATCTCTCTTCTTTATTGATCTCTCTTTGATTTTTAGGAGATCCACCCCAACCTTTATTCCTTTTTCTTTCTAGCTACTGTATATACTTTTTAAAAAAATATTTAATTTTTAGTTGTAGTTGTACACAATACCTTTATTTCATTTATTTTTATGTGGTTCTGAGGATTGAACCCAGTGCTTTACATGTGCCAGGCAAGCGCTCTATGACTGAGCTACAACCCCAGACCAAAAGTGATTTTTTTTTTTTTTTGGTACCAGGGATTGAACTCAGGAGCACTCAACCACTGAGCCACATCCCCAGCCCTATTTTGTATTTTATTTAGAGACAGGTTCTCCCTGAGTTGCTTAGTGCCTCGCAAAGTTACTCCTGCCTCAGCCTCCCGAGCCACTGGGATTACAGGGTGTGCTACTGTGCCCGGCCCAAAAGTGAATTTTTAAAAATATAAATATACGTAAGAAAAATACACAGATCATTAGTGAGCAGTTCATTGAATTTTAAGAACGAAATCACACCCATCTTGTCAACAGACTCAGAAATAGAACTTTCCTGGAATCCTATAGCCTCCCCCCACTCCTTGCAGTCATTCTTACACTGTACAGTTAACTACTCTTTGGACTTTAACACCATAGATTAGTTTGCTTACTTTTTACTTTATAAAAATGAAATCATACAGTATATTTTGTATTATGTCTGACTTTGTTTACTCACCAGGGTGTCTGGATTTGTCCTCATTGTTGCATGATTGTAGAGTGTTTTTCATTTCTGCTGTACACTCTGGTGCTGTGCTGATGTGCCATCATTTCTTAGCCATTCATCTGTTGATGAACACTGAGATTCTTTCCAGTTTTGGCATTTTACAGATAATATTGGTTTATTATATATATATATATATATATATATTTTAAAATGCTTTCTTTTTAGACAGCATTAAATTTTTATCACAAAATTGCTAAGAAAATACACATCTTTTTGCTCAGAATTTATTCACCTTTTACTATGGAATAAACCTATTGTTAAGCATGAAAAATCATTAAGATACACTAAGAAGTACCCCCAATGGATTTGGCTATGAGGACTTCAGGGACATTATGGAGAAGGGTATGGAGTATACAGTTGAGTATTTAAAACACAGATGTGCATCATTAAATAACTCAAATGAAGATAAATAAGTAGAACTTCTCATTACCTGGTTATAAAAGGAGACAAGTTCTCTCCTCACCATGCCAAGAAGGACTTCAGCTGCAGTGGAGATATCTGCAAGTGTAAGTAGAGAGGCTGTCAAAAGGGTTGTCAGGTGGAAATAAATCACCATTTTCTATTTATATAGTTGGTGAAGGTAGCTTAAATGTGCTTGTTTTCCATCTCTATAGGAAATAATAAAAAGAATACTTAAATAAGCTAGGTACAGTGGCACACTCCTATAATCTCAGATACTTAGGAGGTTGAGGCAGGAAGATTGCCAAATCTGAGGCCAGTTCAGGCAGCTTAACAAGACTCTGTCTCCAAAAATAAAAATTAGAAGGACTGGGGGTGGAGCTTAATGGTAGTGCACTTACTTAGCATGTGCACTGCCCTGGGTTCAATCCTTAGTATTCAAAGGAAAAAAGTGTTTAATCAAGGCATAGTTTTGGAGATTGGGCTGCATATTTATTGTTAACTACTTATGGGAATTTAATAATTAGCAGTTACTATGTACTATTGGTCTGTTAATCAGTTGGTGAGTGAATATTTGTTTCTGTAAGAAAATAACAAGAATAATCAGCAGGGATATACATGAGTAAAAAAAAAATTGAGAAAATATTAAGCCAGTAACTAGGATAGAAAATAAAGAACATAAAATAGAAGTCAGTGGGGATAGTTTTCTGAATTTTCAGATGATACATGACTAGTGAAAGGAATCCGGCCCTGTAAACCCAAGTTGGGATTCCCAGGAGATTCAACAGCTGATGAAAAGCTGTAAGAAATGAAGATTGTCACATGTTCTAGGAACTGAGAAGGAGGCAAGTGTGACAGTAAGAGAGGCAGCAAAGGGGACACGGGGTGAAGCTGATGCATGATGGTGAGCTGAAGCCCAGCTATTCATGGGGAAGTGTTTACCCTTTTTTTTTTATACTTTCTTTTTTATTTTCAAGAAGATAAAAACGACTTATTTTTTTATCTTTAAGAAGATAAAAAAATAAGTAGGGATTAAAATTAAAAATTAAAGTAGGGGGGCTGAGGCTGTGGCTCAGTGGTAGAGTGCTTGCCTAGCATGTGTGAGGCACTGGGTTCAATTCTTAGCACCACATATAAATAAATGAATAAAACAAAGGTCCATAGATCTAAAAAATATTTTTAAAAAATTAAAGTAGGGATTCTCAAACTTTAGTCTTCATCCAGATAATCAAGTTTTAACTCACCATTTCTCTATTCCTTTTTGCTTTTTTGTTTTTTTCCAATTATGTGATTATTTTAGGTTTATTTAGCCCATTTGCTTCAAGTGAGATTTATTTTCTGTGGTGTTTTTGTTTTCTATGGTAAAATTTTTATTTGCTTATTTATTTCATCAAGGATAGAAAAATATTGTGTTTATCTTATTTCCTTTCAGATTTGGAATCCAAATATGACACTAAAAAGTTATTTCAAGAAAAGGATATTTATGAAATGAATTTATCTCAGTGGGAAATAATGGAAAGAATTAAAAGTCGTGGCCTTGATTATTCTATTTTTGGAAAAGGCAGTGAATATAAAAAGTTTGAGGAACAAGAGGGTCCTCACAAAGTCTATTTCAGGCAAGTGACAAAAAACACCCCTGAAAAAAGACCCACTTACAGAAAACTCACATCTCTTGCTCTATATCAGAAAAGTCATAATAGAGAAAAGCCCTATGAATGTGGGGAATGTGGGAAGGCTTTTAGAGTACGCCAACAACTTACTTTCCATCAGAGAATCCATACCGGTGAGAAACCCTATGAATGCAAAGAATGTGGAAAGACCTTTAGACAATGTGCCCACCTGAGTAGACATCAGAGAATTCATACATCTGACAAACTCTATGAATGTAAAAAGTGTGGGAAGATCTTTACATGTAGCTCAGACCTTCGAGTACATCAGAGAATTCATATTGGTGAGAAACCCTATGAATGTAAGGAATGTGGGAAAGCCTTTAGAGTGCGGGGACAGCTTACTCTCCACCAGCGCATTCACACTGGTGAGAAACCCTATGAGTGTAAGGAATGTGGGAAGACCTTCAGACAGTATGCACACCTTACTCGACACCAGAGACTTAACATCGGTGAGAAGTGCTATGAGTGTAAGGAATGCGGGCAGGCTTTTCTGTGCAGTACCGGCCTTCGAATCCACCACAAACTCCATACAGGTGAAAAACCCTATGACTGCAAGGAGTGCGGAAAGGCCTTTAGGGTACGCCAACAACTTACACTACATCAGAGGATTCACACAGGTGAGAAGCCCTATGATTGTAAGGAGTGTGGGAAGACCTTTAGTCGCGGCTATCACCTGACTCTCCATCAGAGAATTCATACAGGTGAAAAACCTTACGAATGCAAGGAATGTCAGAAGTTCTTTCGTCGTTACTCAGAACTTATTTCACATCAAGGTATTCATATTGGAGAGAAACCTTATGACTGTAAGGAATGTGGGAAGGCCTTTAGGCTATTCTCACAACTTACTCAACACCAGAGCATTCATTTTGGTGAGAAACCCTATAAATGTAAGGAATGTGAGAAGACTTTCCGACTGCTCTCACAGCTTACTCAACATCAGAGCATTCACACTGGTGAGAAACCCTATGACTGTAAGGAATGTGGAAAGGCCTTTAGACTTCATTCATCACTTATTCAACATCAGAGAATTCATTCTGGTGAGAAACCCTACAAATGTTCAGAATGTAAGAAGGCCTTCAGACAACATTCACACCTCACTTACCATCAGCGAATTCATAATGTAACTTAGTAATTATAAGAATCCTTCAAATGTGAACGTAGTATTAAAGAGCATTAGAAAATAAATTCTAGAGGAAAATTTTCGAATGTAGGAATCCTTTTTGCTTCATGCTCACAACTTAGTATAAAGTTTGTATTTAAAGAAAACATGTTAATTTAATGACTATGTAGAAGCCTTTTTTCACCATTCAAGCCATGTTAAATTATAGGAAATTCACTCTAGAAAGGAACTTTGTTAAGGAAGTGTGAAAAAGCTTTTGTCCTTACCTTTTATCATCCCTATTCTTCTATCTGTGTAGTGTACCTATGAAAGTTGACAGGGCACCATCTCATTCTGAAAATAGATAAATAAAAAGAAAGAAAAGTCATTTAGCCTGTATTTCCTATGTAAACTGTATTTCAGGAAAACCAGAAGTTGACGAAGTAGTTGATGATGTAGAACTAATTCTTCATAGAGGTCAAAGCCAGTAAGTGAAAGGTTGACTTGAACGTTATGGTGATGGATCAGGCTGTCAACATCTGAATCCACTGATCAGAAGTAGGACAAGAAAATGTACTGTGCCTCCTAATGTGATGCAATAAAATACAAACATCTCACCAAAAATGTTGAACGTGAATTTAAGCCTGAAAATCCAACTCCAAGTTTAGAAAAAGTAGGGAATGGAAGAACAAATTCCATGACACAACAAAAAAGCAAATGTAAATGTGGGTGTTCTACAAGAGGAGTGACCCGGCTTCTCGACCAATAAAAGAACATTGAAAAAAGGAGCTAGAACTCCTAAGATATTGAAAAAACTTTAGAGACATCAATCAAATGCAATGAATGGATGGTTCTTTTTCAGGTCATGACATTTTCACAGCAACTGAGAAAATAAGAATGTTTCTAGTAGTAAATTAAGAAACCATGTTTTTATTGGGTGTGGAGAATAGCGTTTTGGTTATATAAAAAAAGTCTGTTCATTAGGGATAAATTCTGAAATTTATATATACAAGATGTTGTGATACCTTGAATGTTCTTTAAATGTTCATTCAAAAGAAGTGAGGGCCAGGCATGGGAGGACACGCTTGTAATGCCAGCAGCTCGGGAGGCTGAGGCAGAAGGATCACAAGGCTAGCTTCAGCAACTTAGTGAGACCCTGTCTCAAAATAAAAAGGGCTGGGGATGTGGCTCAGTGGTTAAGTGCCCTTGGGTTCAATCCCCCATACCAAATTAAAAAAAAAAAGAAAGCAAAGTGAGGGGGATAATGTAAGTTTGGTAAAAAGATAGCCAACTAGATGTTGGGTGCATGGTTTCTATTTGTTTTGTTTTTGTAATTCTGAGTTCTTATGTATTTGAAAATTTCTAAAATCTTCTTCTAAAGAAAATTAATGATGAAATTATAGCCAGTTTGAAAATGATAATTTTTAAATGCCTAATATTAAAATTTTTGGATGTTGCCAAAGGTCTACACATTGGCATATTAAATACACTATAATGTATTGAGAAACAAAGGTTTCAAATTTTGCTTATTCACATCCTGTCTCTGTGTCTATTACAGTATCTGTCACACAGTAGGCATTTCATATGTACAAAAAATAAGTGAAGAAAAGCAGTGACTATAACTAAATGTGGAAATGTGAATTTGACCTGCACAAATATTGTAGTCACTAGCAACATGTGGGATCACTTGAAATTGAGTGTTGAATACTTGAAATGTGGCCAGTCCAAATTAAAATGGTGTTAAATGTAAAATACAAACAAGATGGTGAAGATTAAGTTCTTAAAAACAGTTTTTCTTATTGAAATGATAATATATTAGATATATGGCTCAATACATGATACATTTTAATGATATAGTATAATGAATTTTAAAATACATTCAAATTAATTTCATTACTTGTTGCTTTTTAATGTGGCTATTGGAAAATTTTAAATTATGTGGTTTGTACATGTCTATTGTCAGCATTGGTATAAAAAATAAAAATATAGACTTTAGCCAATGGCGTTTTCTTTTAAAATGGCATCAATACATCAAGAACTTGGTAATTTTCACCAAAAAAAAAAAAAAAAAGGCAAATAAGAAAGATACCAAAATTAAAGCTATATGAATGGGGAAATGACAGTGATGGATTTTTTAAATTATAAATCGTCCTTGCTGGATGTGTACATGCCTGTAATACCAGCAGCTTAGGAGGCTGAGGGAAGAGGATTGCAAGTTCAAAGCCAGCCTCAGCCAGGTGTGGTAGTGCATGCCTATAACCCTAGTGGCTTAGTTGTTGAACACTCAGAGGCAGGAGGATGGCAGTTTGCCAGCCTCAGCAACAGTGAGGTGCTGAGCAATTCAGTGAAGCCCTGTCTCTAAATAAAATACAAATAAAAAAGGGGGGATTGGGAATGTGGCTCAGTGGTTGAGTGCCCGTGAGTTCAATCCCTGGTGTCCCTACCCATCCACCACCACCCCAACAAAAAGGCAGCCCCAGCAGTTTAGTGAGGCCCTAAGCAGCTTCAGGAGACCCTGTCTCAAAAATAAAAAGGGCTAGGTATGTGGTTCAGTGGTTAAGCACTGCTGGGTTCAATCCATAGTACAAAATAAAAAGGTGGTTCTGGGGCTGGGGTTGTAGATCAAGAGTAGAGTACTTAGGGCTGGGGATGTGGCTCAAGCGGTAGCGCGCTCGCCTGGCATGCGTGTGGCTCTGGGTTTGATCCTCAGCACCACATACAAAAAAAATAAAGATGTTGTGTCTGCCAAAAACTAAAAAATAAATATTAAAAAATCCTCTCTCTCTCTCTCTCAAAACAAAAAAAAAAAAAAAGAGTAGAGTATTTGCCTAGCACGAATAAGGCATGGGGTTTGATCCTCAGCACCACATAAATAAATAAAGGCTTTGTGTTCATCTACAACTAAAAATTTAAAAAGATTGTTTTACTCTATAAGTATACAAAAGTGTGATTTCTTATATAGAGTATATATTTATACACTGTATTGTATTTTTAAATATCAAAAAGTTATAATTATTTTCTGGAAAAAAATTTCAAAATTGTCTCAACATGCTGAAGAAAACCTAAGTAAACAATAAATGAAGGAAAAATTAAGACAGTTAAAAGATATCCCTTCTAAAAACTTACATTTAGAATCTGATTTTTTATGAGAAAAAAACTTAACTACATCTTTTCTAACATTCTACAAGACTAACCTAAAACTGATTATAAAACTAGATGAGGGGGCCCACAAAAACAAAATGTAGACTTTCCTTATGAAGATAAATCTAGTAATTAAAACTTCTAGTAAATTGTATCCAGTGGTTTATTTAACTAAATATAGAACAGTAAATCATGTATGGAATATCTTGGGCCTGATTCATCCTACCTTAATTATACATTGCAGGCATTCTACCTTCAGTAGAATTCTACCTTTACTTTTATCACAGTAAAAAATCCAGCCCTAGAACCTTAATTCTTTGGGGGTTTTTCTAGCTGTCTATATAAAGAATAGAATGAATTCTGTGTTTGCAAAATTACAACCAAATGCTTTTAAATTCCTTTGTCAAAATAATGAAGACAATTTTTAAAAAATACTTTTATTTATCTTTTTTAATGTGGTACTGAGGATCAAACCCTAGTGCCTCACATATTCTAGGCAAGTGCACTACCACAGAGCCACAGCCCCACCCAAAGACTAAGACTTGAGTGACTGCACTGTAGCCATTCACTGAATTGCATTGCTCTTGCTATGACTAGGAGGTAGTGAAATTCAGTGTATTGCATTGTTACATATTGATCTCTCAACTTCTCTTCAAACATACTACAGAACAAAATTTTAGTGTTTTTTACTTACATCTAGCATATTGGCCTACTTAGGTCTTCAAGATAAGACAATTAGGGCTGGGGATGTGGCTCAAGCGGTAGCGTGCTTGCCTGGCATGCGTGCGGCCCGGGTACGACCCTCAGCACCACATACAAAACAAAGATGTTGTATCCGCCGATAACTAAAAAATAAATATTAAAATTCTCTCTCTCTCTCTCTCTCTCTCTCCTCTCTCTCTCTCTCTTAAAAAAAAAAAAAAAAGATAAGACAATTAATCCAACATTTCTCAAATGGAATATGAAACTTGATTGTATTTGAAGACATTTTCCAGGAAAGGGACTTAAAAGTATGTTCTGTATATTAAAATCAATTCTTTTTTAGAAATAAAGCTATAAATTTATCCAAAAACTGAAGTAATGAGAATTCATTTGACTTGACTCAACCTCGAGAGCACTTTACCATGTCTACTTTGACTCTCAATGTCTACATGAAGGTTTCTTTGGAATATGAATCCATGTAAGCAGATATTGCTATAAGCAAAATAGTGATTGGGGAGACAGGAAAATTTAGACTTTATGTCAAGTGGTTAGCTATGTTAGAGGGTGGTATAAGGTATGTTTCCTTGGATGTAACAACATGTCTTATCATTTATTTCTGAAGATTGGATTGATGCTTTTCTTTAGAAATGAAGGTCAAAAGTCAACCCAACACTGCAATGAGAACAACCTGACTATGCAACAATACAGATGAATCTCAAAAGCACAATATTGGGCAAAAGAATATAGGCAGAAAAGAGAACTTGTTGTATGTTCTAGTTATATAAAATACAAAAATTCTACACAGAAGCCAGGATAGTGTTGGGGAGGTGGTGTGTGGCATTCAAAGAGTTGTTATGGAAACAGCGTGGGGTTTTCTGAGAATGTGAGTAATGTTTTGTCACTTGAGCTGGGTGCTGATTTAACTAATGTATTCAGTTTTTGAAAATTCATCCAACTGTACATCTATTTATACACACTTATATAACAGCTTAATTAACATTTTTAAGTTATGGGAAGGAAAACCATGAGTTCATATTAATACTTTCAATTCAGATTAATATCATGATTTTTAATCTATGTTGTAGCTTTTTTTTTTTTCGGTACCAGGGATTGAACTCAGGGGTACTTGACCACTAACCACATTCCCAGCCCTATTTTGTATTTAATGTTTAGAGACAGGATCTCAC